GACGGCTGGGCGCACGAGCTGCGGCTCTTCGGCCACGTCCTGGAGCGGGCCGCCTGCCTGCGGCGCTGCAAGCGGGCGCTGCCCGCCTTCCAGGTACCCTACCCGCCGCGGCAGCTGCTGCGCGACTTCCAGAGCCGCCTGCCCTACCAGTACCTGCACTATGCCTTGTTCAAGGTGGGCGCCCACCCGCGCGGGGCGGCGTGGGGGTGGACCACTTGGAGGGGGGCGGCGTCGAGTTTCGGGGCGCTGTGGGAGTGCGCCCATGCCCGAGGGTGTGATCAGTGCGCCCTACTGACCCGATCCCCCCCCCCACGACCCTCGCACCCCCAGGCTAACCGGCTGGAGAAGGCGGTGGCCGCGGCCTACACCTTCCTCCAGAGAAACCCAAAGCACGAGCTGACCGCCAAATATCTCAACTACTACCGGGGGATGCTGGACATCGCGGACGAGTCCCTCACCGATCTAGAAGCCCAGCCCTACGAGGTAGGGAGGAGGAGGAGGAGGAGGAAGGTTCTGAAGCTCCTTCCAGGCACCCCCTTCCTGATGTTCCCCTCTCCCTCAGGCTGTGTTCCTTCGAGCTGTGAAACTCTACAACAGCGGCGATTTCCGCGGCAGCACGGAGGACATGGAGCGCGCCCTGGCCGAATACCTGACCATCTTTGCCCGGTGTCTGGCTGGCTGCGAAGGGACTCACGAGCAGGTGGACTTCAAGGATTTCTACCCAGCCATAGCAGGTATCTCCCAGCTGGACATCTGTGGGTATTATTCCTCAGTCCCAGAGCTCCCCAAGGTGCTTTAACACAAACACATACATACTCTCCAAAAGGAACAGTCTCCAGGTAGCCCAGAGATGACCAGTACAGGGAACTAATGGGGTGTGTCCCAAGGGCTGGGCATCGGTTTGGAAGACAGTAGCTTATCCCAGAAGGAGCCTGGGGAAGTTGGATCCACGGGCTTTCCAATGGGAAGGCAGTGGATTCCTAATCTGTAGGTCCATTCAAACCAGGACAGAAATGGGCTATCCTTAGCGTCACTGCCTTGGCCCAGTCCTGCCCCAAACCTCAGTTGCCACTCTCCCAGAGAATACCTTCTTGCTTAGGATGGGGGTAGTATGCTTTTATCTCCTGAGAAGCACCCAGCACTTTCTGGCCGGCAGAGTGGGCTTGGGAGGCTGTGCCCCCTAGGGGGAAGGGCTGGGATTGCACACTACCAGGCCCTCATTGCTGTCTCTCCTCCCAGATCTCTTTGCAGAGTCCCTGCAGTGCAAGGTGGACTGTGAGGCCAATTTGACCCCCAATGTGGGCGGGTACTTCGTGGACAAGTTTGTGGCTACCATGTATCACTACCTCCAGTTTGCCTACTACAAGTGTGAGCCTCCTGGCTGGGCTGGGCTGGGCTGGGCAAGGGAGAGATGGAAGAAATGCAAGAGAGGATAGCATGGGGAGGTGGGGTGTTGTTCCTAGAACCATAAGGAGCTGACCCTCAGATTGAGTACCCTGGGATGATGAGAACAAAGGCTAGAGGCAGTGCAGACTTGGGAAAGGAACCTAGGGTTGGTTGGAGGTGGATGAGGATCAGGGAATGGGGCAGCCCGGAGAAGAACTCGAAGGCTTTTTTGGTGGGGGAGGGGGCTGATCCTAGGGCTTGAACTTAGTGTCTGGCACTCTTGCTTGGCCTTTATACTCAAGGCTCTACCTCTTAAGCCACACCTCCACTCTGTGTGTGTGTGTGTGTGTGTTGTGTTAGCTTGTATGCTAGTCCTGTGGCTTAAACTAAGGGCTTGGGTGCTGTTTCTGAGCTTTTTTGCTTAAGGCTAGTGCTCTACCACCTGCACCACAACAGCTCCACTTCCATCTTTTTGGCAGTTATAGGAAGGAGTCTCATGGACTTTCCTATCTGGGCTGGCTTTGAACCAAGATCCTGAGATCTCAGCCTCTTGAGTGGCTAGGATTACAGGCGTGAGCCATTGGTACCTGGCTTCAAGGACCTCTTGGTGACTGGCTCGGCAGCCAACAACTAACCACTGGCCAGTTTATAAAGTCCTTGTTTTATTTCATCCTCTCACCTACACTAGGCAGCTGGCACTACTGGCCCATTTTTCAGATGAGGAGTCTGAGGCTTACTGAGGTCCATAGAGGCCACTAGTCTCATGACTAATAAAAAGCAGCACCAGGACTTGTGGCCAGGGTAGGGATGGACAACCTGGGCTGTCAACAACGTGGAGATGCTAAGCTTCAACAGGCGAGAGCTAGGGCAGCAGGGCTGGGAGACCCTTCCTGATGATGATGGCAAAGAGGCTGAGGATTTCTCCTTTCCCTGGTCCAGTCATCCCAGTGCTCTGTTCATCCCAGTGCTGTCATTCTCAGCTGTGCAAGCTGGTTAATTTATCTAACCCCTGGTCTGTAAATTGCAGATGATAATGAGGCGGCAGTGAGTCACACATACCAGGGTCTGGTACATGAAAACACCCAGTACCTGCTAGTTTGCGTGTGTGTGTGTGTACGCGTGTGTGTGCGCGCACGCATGCTACTGGGGCTTGGACTAGGGGGTCAGGGTTGCTGTCCTTTAGCTTTTTCACTTGAGGCTGGTACTTTACCACTTGAGCCACAGCTTCATGTTTGGATTTTTAGTAGTTAATTGGAGCTAAGAGTCTTCCAGGCTTTCCTTCTTGGCTTGGTTTCAAACCAAGACCCTCAGATCTCAGCCTCCTGAGTAGCTAGGATTCTAGGTGTAGTTTGAATTATTATTAGGTGGAGCGAGGAGCATTGTGGGAGGCAACTGGGGAATAGGAGCACTGGGCTGAATTGAGAGGTAGGTGGGCCTGGGATGGGCTTAGCACCAAGGCTACTCCTGACTCTGTTCTCCTTCAGTGAATGATGTGCGTCAGGCTGCCCGAAGTGCCGCCAGCTACATGCTCTTTGACCCCCAGGACAACGTCATGCAGCAGAACCTAGTTTATTACCGCTTCCACCGGGCTCGCTGGGGCCTGGAAGAGGAGGACTTTCAGCCCCGGGAGGTGGGTGCCATCCTCTGAACATTTTTTTAAAAAATATATCCCATTAGTCCTCAGATTTTTTACTCAAATGCTCAAAATCCAGTTTAAAACTTAGGATTTTTATTTTTAATTTTTTTGCCAGTCCTGGGACTTGAACTCAGGGCTTGCACACTGTCCCTGAGCTTCTTTTGCTCAAGGCTAGCACTCTACCACTTGAGCCACAGCACTACTTCTGGCTTTTTCTGTTTATGTGGTACTGAGGAATCAAACCCAAAGCTTCATGCATGCTAGCTAGGCAAACACTCTACCACTAAGCCATAGACAGTCCCAGCCCAGGATTTTGTTGTTGTTGTTAGTTGTGGGGCTTGAATTCTGGGCTTGGACACTGTCCCTGCACTCTTTAGCTCAAGATGAGTGCTCTACCACTTGAGCCACAGCACCATTTCCAGTTTTCTAGTGGTTTATTCGAGATAAGAGACTCACGGAGCCGGGCGCTGGTGGCTCACGCCTGTAATCCTAGCTACTCAGGAGGCTGAGATCTGAGAATCTCGGTTCAAAGCCAGCCTGGGCAGGAAAGACCGTGAGACTCCTATCTCCAATAAACCACCAGAAAACCGGAAGTGGCGCTGTAGTTCAAGTGGTAGAGCACTCGCCTTGAGCTGAAGA